CACGCCGGTTTACACGGTTTCCCACATCACCCTCTAACAACACGCGATTAATAGTGTTGTCCATTTACTTGGTATTATTAATCACAACAAAAACACAATTATTACTTAAAATTTTATTTCTAAATGATGTGAACACATTCATTTGAGTGACAGAGATGATACTGAAGTTTGTTCGCTGGGTGCGCAATGACGTCAGACTTTGAAATGTCACATGGCCTGCGGTCAGTACGAAGATTGTAAGCAAACAATAATTTCAATGAAACATCGTAATTTACTGAGATTATATTCTATCCAGAAAATATATAGTGTCGATAATAATGTGGATATTTTTTATTTCCCGCCTAAAATGCAATAATCAGTAAATTTTCGGTAGTACACACGGACTTTCTCGTGGCTAACTTCACGGGAAATAAGTAAAAACATAATCGGATTTAATCGAATAACGTATTTCATATATACCGACAGACAAATATTTATTAATGTGGGGTTGTTAATCATGCAAACTAGTTATTTTCTTTTAAATGTTTCAAAGTTAAATTTTCAGTCAGGAATCCAGATTTTATAATCCAGATTATATCTGGATTCCGAACAATCATACACACATCGCAACCACAAACAAACATAAAAGCAAAAAATTGGTTTCGGCTTAACTTGTTGGAGATGTAAAAAGATTGATGTGTTAAACTCATTTCAATTATTATAGAATAAAACACTTTTCTTAGTTTTTATACTATCATTGTTGTGTTTTATTGTGGATTCACCTATACTTATTTGTCAAATATTAATATCTGGCTGCGGCTAAACAAAAATATTATCGGGGTTAATACACACTCAATCTCTTCTATAAGAATTTGTAATTGTACGTACATTTGTTTTTATTAATTAATATTTTGATTATTTGGTGTTTAATTATCTGCATAAAATACAAGAACAATACTCGATTTATGTCTGAGAATAATAGACATATTTTTAAATAGAAGCACTGCTTTCTGAAATTTTTGCTTCGATTTTTATTCTTGGAATCATTATTGTAATTTAGAAACAATCCCAAAAAACATACACGAGCTTATTTATCAGAAATTATCGAGGACGGCAAATTTCATAATACACAGAAATATTCAAAATATGTTTTGTCAAAACGCTAAACAAATTATGAGGAATTTTATTTAATATTTTATATGGTCTTATCTTTTGGACATCGATCAATGTTTTTGCAGCTCTTTTCGTGACACATGTTTATTTATTTTTACTTATAATGCACGTGTAAGATAATTTCACTAGTAAAAAGTAACAGTTCGTCCAACCGCAGTTCCCTTTTTCCGCCATTGTCCACGCTGCGATGGTTTCCCCACCCTTTGCACCCAGCGAATATAAATATCCATATTCTATTTTACAGACAATTGTGCACACATTCGTAGTAACAGTAAAATATCTTTAACATTTAGTGTTAATATAAAATGCAAACGTGTTTTATTTGTTGTTATAATAATAAAATTCATGTGAAATATCGTAATAGTAGAAAATTATATTACTATTATAATAAATTACTATTATAAACATTAAAAACATTTAATACGCCACACACACAATATAATATCAGGCATTTAACTACTACAAATAACTATATAAAATACATCAATGAAATCATAAAATCACCTATGTCAGCAGTCAGTATATTACATTTACCTATGTCAGCTGTACTAGTCTGTTTAAAGACAACCTTGAACTCGACGACGAGCGCAGCGCAGTCACAGCGTAAGCCTTCAATTAAATTCCCCCTTATTATCTTTTCTAGATGACAAGCTCAATGGCGCAGTAACTAGGTCTGCAATTGTTAAGCAACTTTCGCAATGGCTGGTGACCAAAATCTTATTATCTCGAGCTTCTCCTTGCTTCGGAAGGGACGTTAAGTCTTTGTTCCCGGCTGCATCTGCAAACATTAATACCCACCAATCCTCGCTGGTGGCTCATGCGTTGTCCATTATCCCTATTCGATTTGATTTGTTTCCATCCATAAGGAAGCCTGAGTCCCAGAAGTAAGATCATATGATAAGGATTTTTTCGATTGAACCTATGAAAGCATTACGCTCGTCGCTGTTTTTATAACAGAACTACGCTGCTGATTCACACCTGTTACAACTGATTAAGTTTGTGACACAATTACCATTCACATTGAACTCACCACATTATATAAAATATATTACACACTTGTTTTTTATTATAAAATAAGTATTTAATTAATATAATTGATCCCATACGGCCAAACGGCCACAGCTGTATTATATCTACTACTTTATCACAGAACAGCTACGATACATTACAAGATTTATTATACTAAACTTTACTGAAACATTAATTGTGCAAAAACACTTGAAACACACAAATACAACATGACAGGCACGACAGGCATTTATACGTATTTATTTTACGAGCATATTACTAGCAATCCCAAATTCGCTGACCTACCCAAAGAAATTTCCAATAGTGAATGAATCATCAAAATCCTTGGGGTGGTTGAAGAGGACTAATAGCAAAAACAGAGACTCGTGTCCATTACCTAATTAAAATTACGTTACCTAAAGTCAGAGGCGATGAATTTAGTTGATTTTTTATTACAAGTAACAGACAATAATTTGACTTAATTGAATCTGCCACATCATTTGATGCCGGTATTCTTGTTGAAATACCCTGATTCTCACTATGCTCTTTCTAGGGACTCCACAACACTTGAGGTTTCCCATTATTTTATATAAAAAAGAAAACCCTTTTTTGCTATTACACCTGCTCGATATGCAAATTAATTAACTCCGTAAGAAGAGTAAAATCTTGGATCCTGTTCCAAAACAAAATTGAACGTAAATAAGTTGAAAACCTTTACATGTTCGGAGATACCGAAGTCCAGAAAATCGGTTGGAGTGTAATAAAAGTGTATTGTAGTTGACGAGTGGATTCCCTTAAAGCATACCGAGAATGGGAAAGTCGAGAGTATCTTTAATTTCTAAACAGCTAGTTTATCATTCATACCTTAGTTAGAAAATACAGAAATATCCAATTTAGTGTGGCACTGTAATCTTCAAATTATTGTGAGTTATTTTGTCATTTATCCTGCTCTAACTTATTAATTCAACAAATCATAGAGTAGGGCAGAACCCGATGAAGTTCACCGTTTAACAAAATCTAGATCGAAGAGTACTTTAAAACTAATGTCTAGGATGCTTAAATAAATATTAATGGTGATAGAAATAGAAAATCTTGCTTGAAGATATGACACTGTTCCTACTTGTTTATAAAATAAACAAAACGTTGTGTAATTGTATGACAACCTTATTTTAAGCATATTTTGTGCTTCTTTTTCCTACATTTGAGCAAAAATTATAATTCTATACACAAACGTAAATAAATGAATACTATATTATTCAAACTTTAGAACAATTTTGGTAAACACCATATTGATATGACCTGTATGTTTGCTTATGGGACGTTTCCGATATAATTTTTTAATGTTGATAAAAAAATAATATTAACAATTCTATAGACTACTTTACACTAAGATAGTTCCAAAGTAATCGATTTAAATATTGAGATTTTTGGTGCCAGTAAATATAAATACCTCGTGTGTTCATTAAGTTATGAGACGAAATAAAAGTTGCGTATCTTTTTTAACAATTAACTTATATTTCTAAAATTTCAGTAACCATTAAATAGATAATAATCTACAATAAAATATATATATTATTCAAAATTACCGCCCTCATTTTTAATACAGGCTCTTGGAAGATTTGGTCAGTCATCAATGGCGGCACGAATCTTTTCTAGCGGAATTCACTTTGCTTCTCAAACAAGGGTTCGCTTCAGTGTCTCCAAGTTTGGGTGGGACTTTCAGCAGGCCCTGAGCTCTAATTCAGTCTATAAAAGAATAATCCAGCAAGTTGAGGTTGGCACTGGAAGAGGGCCACCCGTCCGCCGCGATGAAGGCCGACACATTCTCCCTCAACCAAGCTTGGATACTTTTTGCGTTATGGGATGGCGCCGCGTCTTGCTAAAAAACCCAATCCTTATTGTAAAATAACGTATCAGACAGGGGTTTCACCACGAGCTCTAAAATATCACTCTGATAATTCTTAGCTTTTACCTTGAGACCTTGTTGGCAGAAACGGAGCGAAGTGACACCTTCATACGAAATCCCCCACCACACCATCACACTAGCCGGATGATAAATGCGCGAGACATTCCGTGCAGCAGCTGAGACATCCTTGCTACGTTTAGCGTATTCTTTATTCTTTTGTCGGTTAAACTTTTCTTCGACATTAAAAATTTACCTCTCATCATGTTTTTTCTGAGTACGACATGGATTTCGGCAAAGTCGCTCTAGGGTGATTTTGATGTTCATAGGCGTCCTCACAGAGCGTGGCCGACCACTCCTTTGGCGATCTTGCAGATAACTTGTCTCTTTGTACCGTTGTATTGTGTTACGGCTTACAGGAAAACTATTCAGCTCGCGGAAAATCTGCATCGGTTTTTTTCGTTTTTTTCTTAAATAGCGAAATGACAGTGCACGTCAATTATTCCATTCCCTCCATAACGAGAAAATATAAACAAATTAATTTGCGATGCAAATAAACTAAAAGCTAACATTCCAAATTTAAAAACCGATAAAAAAAGTAAATAACAGCCAGTAACAATACATTTTATTTGTTTAGTAAAAAGTTTGTTTCAAAACTTACGAATACACGAGATACAAAATACTTACTTCTTCATTTTACGTCTTACTCGAAATTATATAAAAATTTGGTAACCAAATACTAAGAAACGTTCTTTGGCGTTACTCCGGTTACCATATAGGTATATAAAATCAAAATTTACATGACCGTTCTTATCGGTCACACAATAAACGAACCACATTCATTATTGCACTTATTAATAATAAATTCGTGGACGTAACTACGTACTTCATTTGGGCAGTTAATTTTATAATAATAGTGACAGAAGCGTGTTAAGTATTAACTTTCGAAGTGTGCTTGCAGGTTCTGTTGGAGCTTTCGACGTTCCACTCTTATTGTCCTCGCCATCCAAAGTGACAGAACAATACAGAGGATCTGTGAAACATGAAACCTTAAAGTACAAATACTAGCAAATATATGAACATCAGTTTTAATTTTCATTTAGTTGTAATTTAATAGAAGAGTATTCCACTATGTCTACGAATTTACTTAAATATCTTGGGAATTATAATAATTAGGAAACCTTTTAATGGCACGTCAAGTTCTCAATATAACTTCGAAATCTCACATGTTTTCATACTGTCATAAGTGCATTTTAGCAGTATAGACTGAATAAATTAGATTTATATATACCAATAAATAGAAGACCTGTGTAATATTTTACTTACCTCAATGATTGCAAATATAACACCAGTTGTAATAAAGATATTGCCTTTAAGGGACTTTTTTCTGCGTAGAGCTTCGTCACAGCCAAGTTCATAGTACGTTTTTTCAGCTAAACAAGTTGCGTGAATCTGTCGTCTGGCGCCACCGTCGCGTAAAGCGTGTGCGCGGGCGCAACAAGAGGGGGGCACGTCACGTTGGAGAATAGAGTAGTCTTGTGGACCATCTACTCCGCAGCAATGATACTAAAACATACATACAATAATGATCTAATTTCCAACAAGAAGCATAATTTACAATTCATAAGAGTTTCAACAGTCAAATAGTACGTTAGCACGTATCTGGTTTGTTCTCAAAGCTAAAGAAACCGTGAAGAAAGAGGTATGACTTCAATGCGATCGCTAACGCAAAATTATCATGATTGTAGTCGACCCCTCAAACAGAGATTTAGCTGAAGTTTAGAAGAAACCTAAGAACTTGGTTTATAATACAGTGGACCCCCGGTGATCCGACAAACGTTTTGCAGGGCAGTGTCGGACTATCGAATTTGTCGGATTATAGAGTACTGCCAAATACGCCCTATAGTTTTTTTTTTTAATTACAGATCAGTGATAAAGATCTATATGTTATGTATATATCTATATTACTCTGAAGTACAAATCATACTTCATTATGTATATCGAATCTAGTAGGTAAATTAAAAAACATAATATAGAGCTTACGTATTAATATAATGTAAAAGTGATGCGAGTGAGTAATGTGAAAAATAATAATTTGCATTAGGAAATAATTGTGTACAAACAAATGTACGTAATAAACAAACAAACCTACGCGTCGAGCGCAATAATGGTGGCGCGCACAAATTATGACCTGTTCAATCATGCATTACGTATCTACCAAAAAATATTCGGACATGTCGGATTACAGGGGGCGCCGGATTAGACAGGGGCCGGATTACTGGGGGTTCACTGTACTATCAATGATACGAGACCCTCATCATGTTACTCATAGCAGCTGGCGGAAAACGACTAATAGTTTTTTTTATTAATTACCATTGTAATAATAAGTGCGCTTTTACTGTGTCTCTTATAAGGTTTCCAACTCAATATGTTTTAATACTTAAAAACACATAAATAACTACAGAAAACAACCTCTGCTTGCAACTGATCCCAGTGCGCTTTGTGATTGGATATCTCATCATCGACGGTAAGGTTTCTGAAGAACTGTCCACGTAGCTCACTTCCACTGCCCACCCAAGCACTTAGTACTGCCCCTCCAACTCCAACCACCACTTCTATTGACACCAGGAATATGAAGAAGCAAGCGTGCTGGAAAAAAACGGTCTTGTTAAGAGTTTAGACCTATTCTAGATACATCTGAATTGATTGGACCAAATGTTGAAGTTCAAAAGGACAAATTGTTTTTTGATTTCCATGTAACTATTAAAAAAAAGCAATATTTTTACTAAAGAGATGAATGGAATGCAGATTAGCACCACTGCTGATCCAACCTGTAAGTAAAACGTAAAAAAAAAACAAGTAATACCACAAAATAATATACTTATCTTGGCCTTACCTTGAGCATCATAGAATGTGTGACGAAAAATGTTAACGTATAATATATATAGTATTGAGAGTAACTCAGTAGTGCTACGGCCCGCGATCGGTGTTGATAAGCAACTTTCTCAAATAATAATTATCTTGAGCTACTCCGTGCTTCGGCAGGCACGTTTAGCCGTTGGTCCCGGCAGCATTTGCAGTCGTTAATACCCACCAATCCGCATCGGACCAGCCTGCCGGGTCATCCTTCTCAGACCATCCAAAAATCCGTAAAGAGGCTGATAATATATAACGCGAGCTCCTCCATGCTTCGGAAGGCACGTCAAGCCGTTGTCGAACGTGGTAGGTTATAGCCGGTTTTCTCTCCCTCTTCTCTCGAAAGCTTGCATCAGCAGTGATTATGAAACTTACCACATACAATATCCGCACATGTTCTCTAAGAGCACCGATGCAGCCAAGTACAGCAGTCACCACCAAACAAAGGCCGAGGGTCAGCAGGAAGGCGAGCACGCCGCGTGACAGCGCTGACTGGTCCGGCCGCGACTTGCGTTCGCGCATATTCATCACGCACACCGCCATCAAGATCAAACCGAACAACTAGAGGAATGATTATATTTATATTTTAATTGCATAAAATAATATGATTTTTTTTTTCATACTAGTGTAGTGAGCAAAAAGGCTAATATGATTTTTTTTATTGTAATGGCATACTATTTTGGCTACAATGATACTATGACGCTGTTGTGTAAAAGCACAATTCAAATCTAAATTATTTCATTAATATTGTAAAAACCGGAATTTGATATTATTAATAAAATATAAAAGTTCAATCACTATAGTTATGTATAAGAATTTACGTAAGAACAATTCAACCAAAAAACTAAGACCATTTCATTTAAACTAGTTTTATAAGCAACAGAATTTGGATTTCAAGTTTTTACACGACATACAATGCCTTTGTCTATTATTAAAAAATTATTAAAAAATGGGATAATTGTAAAATCAGAGATCTTCATAAGAGATCTTGGAAAGTGACTAGCTTATATAATATTGACATACAATTTTATTGTTTTCAGTATATAAAAATAATTACGGAAGAAATTTATGGTCGTATAGTTTTTGCATTCGATAAATAAATTATTTGCTCTGTAATAGTACATGTTTACAATAAATTTTATATTAATGTACTTTATGTGCGCCCCCGTTACAATAATACTAACTAAAATCGATAACGCTATACAAATAATATATTGTTACAATATGAAGAGTGTACTTATGTACTCACGATGCATATTATGTTAAAAAGTGTGAGGAAAAACTTCATACAACGGATACTTCTAGGCTTCATTGTTGGTCACTTATTGCTTGACCGGCCCGTTCTATCCACAGGTCCGCTTAGAGAGAGTTGGACGTTCACAATGAAGGCTTATGGGTTTGTATCGATCATTGCATTTGACGAGCCGATGGTGTTATTAACGTTGTAGGGTATGGTTGCAAGAGGAGCGGAAACTATATCAGATGTATCTAATCCAAATATAAAAACATCAATAACATTTAAAAGTTAATACTTATTCAATTAATTTGGATTGACTATAAACTTATTGGCTGGTAAGTGGTCCGCACTAAATGCGGTTTAATATGTCTGCAAAAACTGCAGTTCAATGTGTCCGCAAAGTCTGTGGTTCAATGTGTCCGTACATACTGTGCTTTAATGCGTCCGTACAGACTGCGGATAAATATATCCGCACAGACTGCAGTTCAATTTGACAGCACAGACATGTCTAGTATAATGTATTCATTTTATATTCATGCCTGTATTTATAAGCGCTTGGCACTTAACGTGTTTGGAGATATTGATGGTCCTTAAAATCTTTTTCGACCGACCTGGTAAAGAAGAATATAAGGTTATCGCTACCACTATATTCCAAGCCAAGATATTTTCATAAATTGTGTACCTAATGGAAAGTAGATTGATTTTATGAATTTTCATTAGAAGTAGCGTCCATGTTAATAACACGTTTTTTGAATTTTTTATTGCAGTAAGGCATTGTTAAGTTGTCCGCTGCGCTAGTAAATGTGTGCTCATTATATGGAACGCGTGGTCGCATGTGTCTGCGTCCCCACACTCCAGGGTCTGTCTTCGCCGTCTTTGTTCCACAGTCCAATTATAACTACGGTCGATATGTGCTCTACTGCTTCCTAATAAGTCTTTAATTACGAGTACATTATTATTATTCTTACGTTACAACTGTGGTATTTGTCATATAATACGTTATCATTGTATTTGGAATATTTTTGTGTCATGGCAAGGCACAAAAGGAATCCAAAATTAAAATAAAGTTAAGAAACAAATAGAGTTGAAGATTATCAAATCATTCAGCTCTGAAAAGATATGTTCCATTGTTAATTGTCAACTTGTTAAAGCTACAAAAGTCAAATGAGATGTTAGGTTTTCATAGCATCTACATACGCCTTATTACATTTGATTAATTTTGTATTCTCAATGCTATACTTGAAAATATTCTTAATGAAAAATATGGTAGGACTCGAACCCACGAACTTTCGCAATCCGGGCGAATGCTCCAACCACTGCGCCAATATAATCTTCGAAAATATTATCCGATTATGAAAATTGTTTCATTTAGGAGAAGATTCATCAGGCACGGGTGAGGTAAGCTATAATTAATCTCTGCAGAGGATTTTACCAGATAGGCCAACTTCGCTTAGACCTGTCTTTTCAAGACGGAGGCGTCGTTGAAGAGCCTTCGTTTAAGGCTTAAACTGCATTTCACCTGCCTTATCCAAAAAGGCTATAATTTACGCGAGAAGTCATAGAAAAACAGCTAGTATATGACATAAGTTATCCTTGTCGTTTTTAAGCTTTGGAGAGAAAAAAAAAGTTTCATGTAAATTTATGTTAAGGCAGATGTGCATAAAACAATAGGATATCGATATGGAGTACTTCGGTAGCGTAGTAGATGAGGGCCGCGGCCCGTTATTGTTGTTGTTAAGCAACTTTCGCAAGGGTCGAACACGGGATGAGTAACTAAAAAAAATATTATACTCGAGCAACTCCGTGTTTCGGAAGGCACATTTGGCCGTTGGTACTGGCAGCATATGCAGTTGTTAACACCTTCCAATCCGCATTGGGCCAGCGTGGAGGGTCAAGGCCCATTCTTCTTATGGAGGGTCAAGGCCCATTCTTCTTAACCATCCATAGGCATAAGCCCCTGCAGTGGGAACGTAAAAGGGTTAATGATGACGATAATACATTAAAACAAAAGAAAGGAGAGGTCCTTTTATTGCTTCATTAGTGCCCTAGTTATTCTAGTATATCTAATCGATAAGACAGTGACAGGTCACAGAGAATGCAAATATTCGTTATAATAATTTCAATAGTGACCTACTTGAGCTGTCTTCATGTGCATTTATTACAATTTTCTTTGCATATCAATTTAGAATTCTAAACTTATTGAAAGGTAATAAAGTGATTGTAAAAAAGTGAAAGTTACAATATTTTATCAAATATCTAGAGATTATTTTATAATAAAGTGTCAAAATGTGAATCAAGTTTCTGTTAAGCTGTACCAAACAGACTTTGCGTTATCGAAAACAAATTAAAAGAGGAATTCAATGACACAGTTTTGGCGCGTTTGGACTGGAATGCTGAGGTTAAGAAACTATTGCAGGGCTCAGTCATATGATGGGTGACCAACACTATTTCATTTCAAGCTCCATCGATTGGTCGATTTGTCGGTACTGTATATATTATTGGACGCGCGCATTGGTTTGTGGGCCATTCTTCCTAGTTAATTCCAACCATAGAGATAGTCTGTACTCCTGTGACGAGGACATTAATATGCTGGTGATGAATTATAAAGAAAATTCACAAGAAGGGAATTTTCAGAAAGTCCTTACGATTGTTTAAACTATTTAATTGAAGCAAAAACAAGTGTATTTTCTTTACATGAATCAAGTAAAACAAAATATATTGTTTAGGTATATGTAGATGTGAATATTTTTATGTGGGGTATGTAATTTAAGGCATAATTACAAAATGTACAAAATTAACAAACTTCAAAGAACGTAATTTTGTTTGATATATAATTTTTTTCATATAATAAACGGAACGAATTTTAAAACATATAATTTTGAAAGAAATACCCTTAAATTAATATAATTTTCTTTAATAAAAAAAATATTTTACGAAAAATTTTGTGGTATAATCTTTTGTCACGTAACACTCATTTAATCTAAACCCACATTATTTAATAACATTTAGTATAAATTTTACATATTAATGATATCCTAACAGCCTGTTGATCAAACCTCCATTAAAATTATAATTAATATAAAAAGTGACATTACCAATATAATTTGAGGTTCATTAGAGCTTAAAAGCGTCATTAAACCTTATGCAACTGACCGTATATCATTCAATTCTCATATTAATCACTTCATATAAAAATCAAACCTCATAAGATGATATAAAAGAATGAATATTTTAATAATAAAAAAACCCTATTTTTTACTAGGTTTCCTTCTTTTCGTCTTAAGGAATGTACTATGTAATAGAAGTTAGGTTAATGAATAACATACATGGTGCTCGCCGACCGCTCCAGCGTCACGCTCGCTTCGCTCGCTCGAGACTCGACTTGCTTTTAACCTATCTTAACCGAATGATGAGTTCCTTTTGTGACCAAAAATGTAGAATTTAAATTTATTCAATCGCTTTGTTAAAAATAATTCGAACCTAATCTTTTCGATCTATCTTAAAGAATGGAAAATTATAATATTATGCCATAGTGGAATATTTAATTCTTGCCAATTTAGTAATAGGGATGATGACTGGGTAAAAAAAATGCAATTCTATTTAGTCCGTCAGTCAGATAAAGAAAAATATTAGATACGTATTTTTTTTACTTCAATTTAACAAGAAATAGCTTAGATAACAGGCAATAAAGTTGAAGAGTGGGGGCTCGCTACGTCACAGTTGAGTAGAAAACGTACTCTAACGTGACGTCATGCGAAATTTCAACTCAATGTAACGCCGTAATTTTATGATTACGAAAAAAATACGTGTTTAATATTTTTCAACACTCTACCTGACGGACAAACAAACAAAAATTAGTCATCACCCCTATTATGATAAAAATTATATAAAATAACGGTTATAACAATTTATCGGTATATTAAATGAAGGTTGTATAGATTTTTTCTAATATTAATTGAAAGTTATATTATCTGTAAGTTATAATAATTAAACTTTATAAAAAAATTATATTATTTGAATAATATATAGAATGATGATTATATTATGAAAAATTAGGGAAATGAACGTTAAACAAATTAAGTGTTATATGAATTGTTTTTAGACGTTTTGAATATTATGTTACAGTATAATAAAATTAATATAATTTAAAAAAAGTTTTTATTTTAAACGATATTATGATAAATAAATAAAAAAAATAACAGTCGTGATTACAAATGTTCATTATATAACGTTATTGATATAAAATTATATAAAAAGTTGCCATAACAAACGAAGCGCACTCTTTTATGTGTAGCATATTTATTAAGTAATATTTTAATTAACTACAATATATTAAGTTATATACAACAAAATATAAAATATAATCACATTATATATGAGATTTTTCCTGGCGTACTGTTACTTTTAGTTCAAAAATGTGCATATTACTTATTTTAAAAGTTAAAAACAATAATTTAATTTTGTATAGAAATTGTTTATAATAAAACAATTATCATTTCAAAAAATGATGAAATAATACACCTCAAGTACAATATTTTTATATTATAACGTTATTACGCAGAAATGGCATAAACTTCATTACGCAGAAAATCTTTGAAATATAATCAATCGCATAGTTTAAAAATCATAATTTTAAAGACAGTATATATTATTGAAAAATTAATAATACAATATAATTTCGGAGAATTTTTTTGAGTATATTTTAGCTGAATATGGCGCTTGCTAGCTAACCATTGCCTAAGCACGCTCGCTCGTTTCACGTTTCGTTTTGATCACAGTTCTAACCTAACCGTAACGATGAATTAGTTTTTTATTTATAAAGCTAATCGAAATTATTCATTTTTCAATTTCGCCATACTACGCATTGCAAATTCCGACATAAATACAAAAATTAATAATACAATTGATAATTATTATTCAAAATGCCGAAAAAGAATCATCGAGCATTTCACAGCATCGAGATGCCAGATGGAGAACCATATCTTTGTTAGGTGTGGTCCTTCATCTGGATATAGTTCTCTGTCCACATAGTTCCAGATAGAGACCATATCTTTGTAAGGTATGGTTCTTTATCTGGCTTCTCTCTATTCTGTCTATTTTACTGCGAATGTTAAATTTACTAAATATAAAAACATTTAATATTTGACCGTCTGCTTGTAAACTAATATAGTGTTCTTGATATTATTTGTCATCCACATAGCCAGCAACATCCCGGCACCCTGGAAATGAAAAGATGCATATTAAAAAAGTATCTCGGTGGCGTAGTGGATAAACGCCGCGGCCCGCGATCGTTGTCTTTAAGCAACTTACGCAAGGGTCGGTCACCGGATGAGTGACCAAATAAATATTATCTCGAGCTACTCCGTGCTTCGGAAGGCACGTTAAGCCTTTGGTCCCGGCTGCATTTCCAATTCGCATTAGTCCAGGTGTAGTTTTAATTCTGTTCTCATTTCTGTATAACTTAGTAAGGCGCTATTCCGTGCGGATTGGCGGATGTGTTCGTCTCAGGTAAATTTGTCAAACCTACAGTCCGCTCCAGCTCGACATCGCATTGAACGGACTGTATAGGAATCATACATTTTATCATCCGCTTAGGTCTTCACACTGAACATGGTCTAAAGAAAGTAGTACACCAGAATTGGCACCAGTATCTGTTTAATAATAAAAGTCTTGTCCACCTGTACTAAGTAGCAGAATATGACTGCACCAAGCAAACATTCGGCGTCCGAACGGAGAAAGAACAGGATCTCGTCTTCGCAACCTTCAGAGAAGTAGCTCTCCGACCTGTATCAAGAAAATTTTGATATGTAACCTATACCTTTTTGAAAACTTCCAAACACTACAAAATATAAAAGTGTTCTCTTTTCGAATCGGTAACTTAAAAAGAACGACATAGATACGGTCGGAAGGTAAGGTCACAAGCTACATACTTTCCAGCAAGTCTAAGAATCGAAAATATAATAAGAATAGAAAGACTGTGTCCTGTAACGGTCATTTTAAACATAATTTTTTTAACAGTCCAATATCTTTATCGCTACCTCTTACTCAAAAGCTCATTCTTTATAAATATGTAAAGACTGAAAAGGATTGCAATGTAATAGTTTTTAATATTTTTCTGTGACCACATTTTTTTCCAACCTGCAAACTCTACACTCTTCTTACATAATTTCTTAAATGATTATATTCTTAATGAAAAATCCTTAAAAACTCTACTTTATCTCTGGCACTCTGTGGTGGGACTCGAACTCATGAGTTTTTAGTATCACTGAAAACACATGAGTTCGATTAAGAATGGTTTCTTAAAGTTAAATATCAATAAGATTATTACTGGCCGGTTTCTAAATTGAGAAAAGTACAAATCTCAAGTTATTATTCTTAATGACTTATCTATTTTAAGCGAAACTCACAGTAAACATGATTTGTAAAGTTCCTGCTGCGCGTACGAGGTCCTGGCGCGGTATGCGCGTGGGCAACACGACATGCTGATCGGTCGCCGAACAGCAGGGTAATCATCCGGCCCGTTCAGACCACAGCATTCGTACTGTCAGAAAATAAGAAGTAGAACATCTTACCACTCCTACAGAGTTATAAAAAAAAATATTTAGCGGTGAAGTAAATCTACGCTGAGATTGCACTTAGTATTAGGCAAAATTAATATTATTAAACAGTGATTTAGCAAAAGTAAACCTAGTGCGAGGTTCTATCTTTAGTAGAAGATAATAAAATATGATTTTGGACTTATACTAAAATTACTATTTTAGCGTAAATTTCTTCTGACGCTAAATCTTGTTTAAGTGGCACTGCTATTGTTATTTTAATTGAAATCTTAACATTCCGCACTGATCCAATTACTATATAGGTTAATTTTGTAAGGCTCTGTTTTAATCTTCTGACCGAATGAAATCAATGTTTTTTATAAATTGCGTCATCAGATATTATACTGAAAATAAGATTATACTGCAGATATTATTCTTGTCATAATTCATACAGAGAACTTAAATTGAAAAATGGTCTAATAAAGGTCACTTTCCAATTCGCATTAAATAAAAACAGACAACTTGTTTTACAATCGCTGAAAACTAATTAGTTTTTGTTAACATTTTCAAATAGACACATTATTATGAACATGACATCGCCCAATCAACCCTAATGCCAACGAGATAGTGAAGTCGTCTCTATAGTAATCCTGCCATTTTGCAGTTCAAATTCCTACATAATATCCAACTTACGCGTATTTGTAAGTCATCCCACATACGTTCGTGCTCTTCTCGGTTTTCTTCAGTCACATTGCTGAAGAAGTCTTCCCGAAGCCACTCCGTTACCCTAAACTCTAGACCGTGTCTTTGTATACCCACAAATATAGATATCAACATCTGCAGCACTGTCAATATTGTCATAAGAGCCACATACTGTAACAAACATAATTATTCTGAACAGCCCTACGTTTCTGTAACAATCCAAACTCGAATTCGAATTCTCTTATACTCCATTCATAACAGCATTAGACAGAAGTTAAATAAGGTTCTTTTTATGGTATACTTTGTGACAAAATATTAACATTCATGTTACTCTTAAGACTGACGGCTAATTTGCTACATATCCACTTAAATACCAGCTGCTATACTTAACAGTTGTCGTTTAAGCTATCTGTTAAACAAAATTATGAGTATTTGACAATCTTAAAAGATTTAATAACTTTTACAATAAAAAGTGTTCATCTTAAAGAACCTAGAGAGGCAGGGTTGGATAGTCTCGGCACGATTCTCATGTCACTATAACACTACCAAATTTAAAACGTTGCCTAATCCCTTCAAACGTTTCAGTAGTACAACTTTTTAATTTTGTCAGATTATGATGTATTCATAATAGTCAAAATACGTAATCTGGGATTCTCATTAATTGTGAATGTTATTGCCTTTCTTGTTGTTTTACCGTATTCCGTGATTGACTTGTTATTGTATTATTGTTGTTTTCTTATAGTTTTGTTTTAGTTGTTATCTTTTTGATATTAAGTTTTGCTAAATATGGACGACTCCAGTGCAGGTCCGAATGGCCTTTCAGGAAGTTTTTCCAATATCTTAATCAATAATCTAATAATATCTGGATAAATTTAATTGCTCTTTCAGACTACCTAACGTTGAAAGTTTCAACAAAACTATTATATATATTTTTAAAATTTATCTTGAAAATAAAATGTTCTGCACTGCTGCTTCTGTGATCCTCTTTTTTGTAATGTTATAATGAATGGAGTATAGGTGTCTGAATTCACTTAAAAATTCGGCATCCGCTCAATCTTGAATTGTGAAAAATTATTGGCATAAGTGAAGTGAGCTTCGAAATGACATAGGAATAGAATATCTGAGACACGTATGATTAATCAATTTTGTTTTGTATTTTTATACAATAAAATGGAGTCAATAGAATTTCTTCACTGAATAATGTCATTTCGGACAATGAGTGAATTCTAATTCGGGTTCAAATTTTTTCTCGAATCGCCCTGCTGCATTTAATATTAAAAAGTACTGTATGCTTAGAAAAGGGAAGTAAAAACGTGAAAACATACACGAAGTTTATTTTCCAGGGCCTGATCTAACCTAGGGGTGAAACAGAGCAAGTGCCCCTAAGATGCAAAACCACGAGCGTCGGATGGTTGGTTAGAGTTTCCATTTATCTCTCTCTCTAAGCGTGGATTTTTTTAAGAAAGTGGATTATTTATGAAAAAATCCACGCTAAAAAGGATGAAGCAAGCTTGCTTGTGTCGTGAAAATTGAAAACAACAATGTCACCACAGCCACCCAGGCTGTCGGTCATGTTAATTAAAGGAATTTTGTACACCATAAACAAGATTATTACTTACCGCGTATAGAACTTTCAAGTTTCCTTTGATAGCCCCAATGAAGCCTATAACAGCAATGATTAAGAGCAGCAGACTAGCACAGATGACGATGATGTCACCAACGAATGTCCCTGACGCCTGCTCCTGTCCGTACTGGATCAGCAACCTAATGTCCACCACCGCGAATCCCAACATGCAATAGGCTAGAAGCTGTAAGTAATTTAAGCTCACCAACTTTCCTTATGAACATACCATTTCTTCAAAGGTCCAAGGTATTGAAAGAATTTTATCATTTTATTCTGTTATTCACTTAAAAAATACTAACTTTCAATTGATTTTGTCCAAAAAATAACTTGCATATAGGCTCCATAGCTAATGGACTGACTTTCGCCACATATTAATGTTATTATATTCACTTTTGCATTCACTATGTTATAGTGAAAAATATTTGTTAGGGCCTGGGTAGCTCAGTAGTTAGTGCAGTCGCCCGGATTGCGAAGGGTGGCGTTGGTTCGAGTCCCATGTCAAAGTACCAAGGAAAAAGTGTTTTTTTTTTTAAGTATCTTCTATTATGAATATTAATGTCACTGCTATTTAGCAACCTCTTCCCCAAGACAAAACTATGAGTGAACTGCACTGGTAACTCAATTTGGGAATATTGTTCTTGTTAATGTAGATTTGATTAATGAGAGAGGTACCCCGATGGCATAGTGGATAAGCGCCGCGACCCGCAATCGTTGCTGTTAAACAACTTTCACGAGGGTCGCTTACAAGATGGGTGACCAAAATATACAATATTATCTCAACCTACTCCGAGTTTCGGAAGGCACGTTAAACCCACCAATCCACACTGGGCCCGCGTGGCCCATTCTCCCTAATCGATTTGATTCGATTCCATCTATACGCAAGGACCTAGCAGTGGGAACAGTAATTGGCTGGTATGATGTGATGTATATATATGTACTATATATATATTTCAAATACTTACTATACATATTCCGTTAACCACCAAAAACAGCCCTCTGGCAATACCTCTATTACATTCTCTAACGTTAACCATAATTTCAATTCAGAAAAAGCAGAAACAAATCGTTCGTACAAGTTCCAAGGCTCCGATCGACAGTATATCATTGGCTGGTGTTATCATACGCCATGGGAATCGTCAAATGCAAGGATAGTTAAATATTCATAAAACTAATCGATATCCTTGAGACTGCTGCACATGGGAAATTCTACATTATTAATTCTTTAACATCACATATTATAAACGATTTTAAATTGTGCAATACACTGTATACTATGGTACAAGTACTTCATGTCTCATCTATTGCAAGAGATTAAAAGCTAAATAATGATTTAAAAGTGTTAAAACTTAAAAATAAGAATGTTCAGCGACTAATGACCATTTAAAAATAACTTCAAGTGACATTTTGGATTTAGGGTGTTCTTAATCGCATCTACGAGACAGCTGAAGTCAATACAACATAATTTTATTAAGTACAAAGCATATAAAAATAAATTAAAAACATAGAAACTGTAACACAAAATTCTTTGAATGGAATACTATAAATGTCATTGTTTTTAAATAGTTATAAATTAATACTTGAATGTAGACACAAATACAGGGTCAGATTTCTTAAAAAGTTAATTTCTGTAATTAATTTCGAACTTAACTAACAACAGAGACGGGGTTAAAATACAGTAAAACAAACAATAGTTTACAATCTAATTTGCACAAAAATATTTTTATAAAATTAATATAAGAAGGTATCGAAAAATTTTGTTTTAGAGAAAAAGTGGACCATAGCAGCTGCGGTCGTATCTTCCAAGTACTTCAATTTTCATATAAAAAGTATCGTTATAATTCTTATTAATAATATTGTCTTTCGGTTTTGTATAAAAAAGAGAAAATGTATAAAAACATACGTAATTTTTGTCAATTTCAATGATTCTTTTTGTAATCAGATGAATAATTTTTAAGTATTTGAAAACATTAAATGTATTTTTTTAAACTTACACTTAAACTAAATAAATAAACAGGTACGCTGGTAGAAGTAATATTGCTGATTGTAGAGTAGAAGCCACACCCATATTCGTATCATAGATTGGGTCCCTGCAACAAATATTATATTTTCTAAATATATTTATTTTGAATCCTTAAACATATGCATTATTTTATTATAACATTTCATGAAAATATTTTATTGTTTTTATCAATGTATATTATCAATTATTATTATGATTTTATTTTCCCTAAAATTTTCGATATTAAACATATTCAATGATAAAAACTTTAATACTTTCTTATATATAGTTATCGCTTTGGCTATGGTTTTAGGCAACTGATCCACGGCGTTGGTGTTCTGTAAAAATACATCGTTGAACATAGCGTCCGTCGAAAATAGCGCTGTCACAGCGTTCAAAATTCCTCAAAAACCTTTTCAAGAAGATTTTATTTGATTGAAATTTTGAATAAAATAGCACTATAGTGTATTTAAATAATATATATTATAGACTTAAGTAACATCACTCACTATTATTACCTACTAAACATAACTACGAATTCTACTTTAGCTCAGCAAAAAGAAAATATTAATATTTTCATTGAGATCTTTCCTGTCGTCACTTTAGGATTCATACACTCGTATTTATAATCGATAAACCTTGAGAAAATCGAATAACTTAAGCAATTATTTTAATCAATAGAAGAGAATTGTGATATAACTGTTCGTACTACATTCAAATTCTTGTTTATTTGTTAAAAACATTAACTTAGGTAATAACATTTATTTTACTCAGCCATTTATTTCGCCATCATATTATAATTTTAACCGTTTTATGTTATGATATTAAATACTGTTTGATTTTTAATTGGAAATAGAAGGAAAATATATAATTTTCACTGATACCTTTTTATTCATCAATTTATAATACCTTACATAATTTTGTTTAAGTCATATCTAACTTTGTGAATACTAAACCAACTCTGTGTTTAGGTTGGGATATATCTCTATTTTATGTGGAATTATTCATTTACTTTTTATATTCTGATTCGTGGTCACTCTTATTTGATAGCTTTCTATTTTAATAATTTTATAAGAATGGAGATTGAAGAAAGTTCGGTCAAAAAGCAGTGTTGGAAATATTCCACGTACACGAAATCGCAGGCAAAAGTCAGGAGGTTACCTATTTAAAAAACATATAACTCTCAGAAAAGTTCGATAAATATTTTTAATTGAAAAATACTTAAACAAAGAGATCAAGAATATTAATCAGTATAGCAAAGTGACTGCAAAATTGGTCAAGTATAATAGTTTGATATAATATTATTTATGAGAAAGCTGTTTTGATTTCGAATAAAATAATTATAATGCAAAAAGTTATTTGCGTACTAATCATGAATGTTATTATTTTATTTACTTTTGCTAAAATACAACGGCAGGAGTTTTAAAATTCAACATTACCTATTAGACCCTAAAGCAGGGATGGTGAACCATTGGCACGCGCCAGCAGTTGCACGAGGTAAAATATTTTGGGCACGACACTGATTACGAAATTCATTTAAAAACAAGTTATTCATTGAAATAGATTATTGACGGATAATATAAGCAAAAATGCAAAAATTGTTTACCAACTGTTTTCAAACATTCAAATGTATCAGCTGGCTCATGTTTGAGATGAATAACATTAAAAATTCTGTAAGAAACAGATTGACAGATGAAAGACTGATAAAAGTAACATTTTACGACCCCAATATAAATTTGTTGTCATCTAATCTGCAACAACAGCAGTCAAACTAATTTTATATTAAATCAAATTTCACGAATAATTTAAATTAATATAAAATTAGCCAAATGGAACATTGCAAAATGTACCTTTATTGAGGTAAATTAAAAGTTTTGAGTTAATAGTATATATTATTATTTTCCCAATAATCATAAAGTCAAAATTATTTGATGGCATATCTATGGCTTTATTAAACATTTTGTTGGAGAAAATGCACGTTGATGCTTAAAGGTTCGCCATCCCTGCCTTAAAGTAACCGATTTACAATGGTTACCTTTCTGTTGTTTCATCTAAAATATGTAATATGAATATTTTCATTTTCATCTAAAATATGTGTAAAAAAAAATATTATTCGTTTTAACAGAGTATGTTAAGCGTCAATACTGTGGCATGAGCATTGTCATAATGTGTATCATTAAAAATCTTTAGACTTTATAAACGTTAAAATAAAGTCCGAAAATAAGCAAGGTGATATGTAACGCGTCCTGTGACAGGACACCTCACAGACTTATAACAGACAAGAGGTTAAATTCTTGTTAAAATAATAAATCTGTCATAATTTATGATAAAATTTGAATTCACATGTGTTTATCCTGATAAAAATTCCTTCAAATGTTGAACTGTGTCAGTCACCTCCAGACAAAACAGTTGATTACATATTTTGTTCTGTGAGATATTAGAAAATACTGTAATTGCTAGTTGTGCTTTGAACGATAAGGGTAGTTAGCAAACACAAAATAATACTGTTGAAAAAAATTACAACGAAACATTTATTTAGGAATTTTTGTTTATAACTACAAATAATGTAACATTTCATCAGCAATAGTTGTGATTACTCATCACGAAGACGAAAAGGTATATACAGCAGCATATCGATATATCACAAAACGCCTGGTTTCCGCAGCCAATTTTTTTTACTTAGTAACAAACAGTACAGGAATTTTACGGTTACTTATAACCTAATATGGTGTTGACCATAATCAATAGTGCCCTACATCAGTCCGATGACTCCGCAAGCGACTCGTCCACCAGCGTTGCCAGTCGTTCTAGAGTCTGGATGGTCGCTCCTTCCATAGTCATCAGCTTTAGCGTGGAGGACCACGGCCCTTCCGAGGATATTGTGGGCACCACGGAGGGATAGCTGGCTGTCTGTGAAGTCGATGTTGGCAACTTTTTGATCGTTGAAGATAACGTTGCCTAAATCACCTACGTGGCGAGCTTGATCATTGGGATGACCATGAGGTTGCTGAAATAAATAAAAAAAAAGTAAAATTAAAATTATTCCCCAGGAATCTTTTTGTAGTTATTCTGTTATCCATAATATGCTTAAATATGCTATGTACTAAAATTTTGTACCTACATAGTAAAAGTTTGCTCATTGATACGTTACTCGTAAAGCGCAAACATTTTTCTTTCGCAAGGAGCGTATGAAAATTGAAAGAGAAATCAAATATTACGCACATAGTTCCCTTGGAATAAGAGTTAAATTCGGAATATCACACTCGTATCTATAGTCAAGTAGAAGTAATAACTTGAAAATATTATTATCCAATACACGACAATTTAAATGAAGTAAGAACCGTCAATAGCTTCTTCTAATAATAATACATATTTTAAATTTATTTCTACTAGACTATAGATGCGAGCGAGCTGTAATAATAGTTAAGACGAGTAGTTTAGTAGACTTTTTCCGCCGGCCTGTGATTTAAAATGCTTTACCTTCTCAGGGTTGAAGTGGGATCCGGTGGACATACATCCACCGCTGAGGTCTCCCTTTTCGTGGACGTGGAAACCGTACTCGCCGGCTGGCATGCCGGTGATGGTGCCTTGCACTCGGACCTTGTGGTCTTCAGTCTCAGTGAATGTGACAGTACCGTGGACATCGTCATTGCCAGTCAAAACTACCGTCGCGGTGTGCACTCCATCCTTGAAAATATCAAAGATTGTATTATAAGCATTAATAATTCTATAGATTTAAAAAAGAAATCGCAAAAAATACTTTTCTGTAAACCGCCTCAAAATCGATTCAGACGAACGTGATATTATCGCGCACAAACATACATACAGGACAAACTGAGATCCTCCTTTTTTGAAGTCGGACATTCATTTTAAATCATTTTTACTTATAATATTTTAATGCTTAATTAAGGAAGCTAATAACGTGACTATTATGACTTATCAATGTATAAACGATGGCTATTTGAAACGTCATATAAATATATGTTAAGGTGACTTAAGATAAAAAATAATCATGGACTTTTTCAATTTTACATAGCAATTCTGCCAACGCCTTGTAGTGAAGGAGTCACGCAAGAAAGTGCTCGGTACATGGTTACTATTGTAATATCTGTCATAATATTAAATATATGTATAGGTATTTACCGCATGATGCGCAAACGCAGCTCCCACTGTCACCAAAAGAACGAAGAACTTCAGCATTTTCGTTTGTTTTATCTGAAATGAAAATACAGGTATTTTATCTAACAAATATTATACTCGCTTGATGGTAAAACTGGGCTAATAGCTTTTCAATTTTGCTATTATATACTTTGCTATTCTGTAGAAAAACCAGCCTTGGATTCGACGTCGAGCCATAGTAGAACCTATAACTTTCTGCTATGGTCGATCTCAGTATCATAACAGCGTAGATCTCCAATGAAATCAGTATCATAAGCCCTTTACTTCGCCCCTCTGTAGGGACTCAGGCCTTCCTTATGGATGGTTAAGGAGCATGGGCTACAACCCTCCACGCTAGCCCAATGCAGATTGGCGGGTATAAGCGACTAAAAATGTAGCCGGAACCAACGGCTTAACGTGCCTTCCGAAGCACGGAGTAGCTCGAGATAATAATTTTTTGGTCACCCATCCCGTGACCGACCCTTGAGAAAGTTGCTTAACGACAACGATCGCGGGCCATGGCGCTTATCCACTACGCCACCGAGCTACTTATACCAATGAAATACCTTTTAAATAATTTATCACCTTTACAAATACGTTTTATTCGATTGAATCTTTATGCTCTGCCAGCGCCGCGTTTTTTATTACAGAATAGCACTATAGGTGTACTCGGTTTGTTTTCCTTATCATAAAAACATCCACTTCAAATTGTTTCCTGTTTATCGAAACATTTATTAGGGTTCCTTACACAAAAGGTAAAACGGGACCCTATAACTAAGACTTCGCTGTTTGTCAGTCTGTTTGTTCGTCCGACACTCTGACACAAGGTATCCCATGAACAATGATAGTTAGACACTTGAAATTTTCACAGTAGATGTAATTCTGTTGCCCCTATTACAACAAATGTTTAAATATTTAAGTGTCCCCATACAACAAACGTGATTTTTTTCTTAAATAATAGTACCAAGTCCTTCGTGCTCGAGGCCGACTCGCACTTGCCGGTTTTTTATATATTAAATATGGCGATCGTTACTCAACGTTTCTACTAATCAATAATAAATATTAAGTGTATACCAAAGTAATTAACAATAATTGAATAGCCAATGTAGTTCTATATTAAACAGGTATCACTGCAATGAAATATAGTACCTGTCTATAAACAGGAAATTCGATTCTTCAAGAAGTCCATTTTCGATGAGTCAAACCATTCGAAGTAATAATCACTAAAGGTAAACCAACAGATGAAGTAATAGTATGACAGTATAATATAGTCCAAGCTTACAGCACAAAAAACAAAATGTATTAGATAGAAAATTACGTCATCAGGAAAACACTTAAAAAGAGTCTGACTTGTAAATTATCTCTGAAGCGTGTCAGTATATCGGAAAATTTTATTACAAGTTTAGCTAATCAAAAATAAAGACCATGGATTATTGTATTACAAAAAATTTAATAACTTATACATTTATTTAGAAAGTTCGTCTAGTTTTCCCATTTAGAAAGTTCGTCTAGTCTAAACGGTCCTCTAGAACATCGAAGGGCTGTATACTGAAAACTGTTAAGCTTATTGTTTAGGACCCTAGATTCTGTTAATATTTAAGTAATAAAGGCATCCCAATGGCGTCTTTATTGGTCACAGTTTGCCATTGTGCTATCTACTTGAATCTCAATGTTATTATCACAACATCTTTTTCATAAATCAACGGCTACAGGTAAGTTTATTATTTTGTGATCTAGTGTAAAAAACTGTAGTAATTAAAATGCCTGGCCGAGAATGACAGGAATATTTAAACTGGCATAAGATGAGTTTTGTTTTTTATCAAGGTGTCCCAGTCAGTCCCCTGGGCAGAGGATGCATGGAGGCAGAAGGAACAGCCGCTCACGTACCGCTGGAATACAACAGAATGGCCAACTACCGGGCAACATAACTATTCTCGCCGAGTAACCCCGAAGAGGCCATCACAGACGTGAAGCCGCTAGAAGAGTTTCTGGCGGAGATGGGTTAGCTGGAATATCTTCATGCCATACAAATAGGGGCAAATTTGTCGTCAAGTTACAACAGTAAAAAGAAGAACAAATGAGTTTAACAACGAAATAACAGATTGTCATAAAGCAATATCTATTCTAAAAGATTTAGACAGATGTCTATACACATGTCTATCTAGAAAAAAAACCGTTAAAATTTGACAAACAGTAAATACCTCATTGTAAAACAGAAAAAGAAATCGAATATGCAGAAATTATAGGCAGTCTTATTGTTCGCTAGGTAAATAAGCGCAATATTTTCACTTAAAACTCAAACGTAAAACTAAAACGTAACGTATAAACAAACAAACGTACAAATATCCATAATAAGATAAAATGTGACCTTTATAAACAATCCTCGGCCAAAACAATCGCTCTTAGTTACCGATTGATAATGTACCTCGATTATTTAACAATTACAAAAATGTTAATAAACGATGCCTCATTATAGATTATTAAAAGTGACATTATTTCATAATATAACGTAATATATTGCAACAACATTACGTAATATATTGCAATAGTCTTCATTTATTTAAGAAAACTATTAAGTCAAAGTCTATTGCATAATTATTATTTGACTATTATTTAAAAAAACTAAAATCTTTTTCAGTGGCGTACTACGGGGGCGGTCCGACCTGGGCCTCCGGTTCTGAGGAGCCTCAAAATGGCTGCAAAGTACCTTGATCACATTATAAATTTACGTTGGAGACCCCGTAGAAATAAGTACAGTCTGTAGCGGAGGGGAGACGTTAAATTTTCAAGGGCTTTTACCTTAAATTAAGAGAGACCGATTTAAAAGATGCACTTTAAGTTTACTACTTATAGAACTTGCAGAACAAGTCAAGTACTTGCATGTGAATAAGGAAAATCTTTTTAACACGTCAGCCATGACTGTACACAACTTTTTTAGTTATAAGATAAATTTTTGTGAACTACTTTAAAAAATATATTATCATTTGAAGTAGGTTTTATTTAATTACGCCTCGCTGTATTTGTAACAGAATAGCACTACAGATAGATTTTTTCCATATTTCCCTTAAATTAAATTGTCAGCTATATATATAAAATACGACATAATAATAAATTCTTTGTTTAATTATTTTATTTACAGATGCTCTGTTAGTGCTCGATTGATTGAAGATTTTTAAATAGAAAAGTCCGTTTCAGGGCATTTAGTAGATTATCCAAACATTTAAATACACATAAGTAACAAATAATCTAAATATCTTTTTTACGGTTTCAAAAATTTTATAGAACAAATATTTTATGGCTTCACAAAACATTGAACTATTATCAGAAATTAAAAAATATACATACATAAGATACACAGGCCACTAATAATATTATTTTTATCAGATCTTTTTAATAAATCGCGTTAAAAATTTTCTGTTTGAAAAAAACCATAAAACAACACAGTATTGGGACGAAAATAAATAGAACTGTATTCTTAATAAATAATAATTACCCATTATAAGTTTTCTTAAAACAAAACACAAGAGAGTTCGAAATTTAAATCGAGATTTTTTTTTTAAATAAAACTATATCAAACATGCGACTCACCTCTACGGTTCCAATCAGTGAATGCTCCCAGTGAAGTACGACGTGTAAATAATGTTGCAATTGACGACCACTTTTAAAAGAGCTCTCACAACATCGATTCTACAATCAACACTATAAAATCTAGCCGGTAAATAGTTCAAAGTACACTGGCCAACCAAACCGGTCTAAAAAGCCGGCGAGTCACAATAAACATGAATACACTACGTACTTACATTCGAATGTGGTGCGAACGTTTTTTCTGCACTTACAAATAATATTTTTAATCTGGTATTAATAGAATATTCTATAAGGCGAATATCTACTTTACAACATACATTTTTCTATAGAAACGTTATGTCAATGTTGAAAATCATCCACTTATGAGATTATGTCTTATCTTGACAAAAATATCAAAGTGAAAATTAGATATAATATATGATAAGTACACAGATGATTGACAGTGCAGATTTTTAAACGGGGAAATGAAATTCCCCACTTTAAAAATCTGCACACAATCTGCATAATAAGCCAAAATATTGGCTAAGAAAAAGAGTTTACAACTACAAGAACTAAGCTTGCACATTTTAAAATAGTAATATTTAAGTATGTGACATTATTTAAGACCTTACACAATCTGTTTCTTAATAGGTAAATAAAAGAAGTTTTAGTTTTCAAAGCGTCCGGATTCAATTCCGGAACTGAGAACTAGTGTTTAAATGTATTAACGCACTTTTTACTTTTCACTAAAACCATTATTATTAGGTTTATTCATCTGTTATTAGGAACAAGAACAGATTTTCGTATTTCTTATTGTTCTTTACATAGTATATAGGGATATTCACCGACTTAAACTAGTGTTGTTTATCAAAATGACGTGGTAAAAGTACTTAACTTGCATTGTAATGATCTAAAGGTCATTTTATTGATTGACCATCGACATCACGCGTACAAATGGAGCGGAACGAATAACTCTATTCGATAACAATGTTGTCACACACAAACAATGTTGGTATCATAATGACAGCGACATTTCGTAAGAGTTCATGAACAATTAAATTGTTTACCTATATTCTTTAAAAATCATCATCATCTATTAAGGTGCATATATATATATATATATATAAACAGTTTTCATTACATATAAACATACACCACAGAGGACTGAGTAGGGACTCGAACCCGTGACCTTTCGCAATCTGAGTGACTGCTCTAACAATTGAACTACCCAAGAACTAACAGGGGGCCAATTCTACTAAATAAATTTTGTTTAAATCGAATCGAAAACGGATTGCAAACGGATCGAAACCGAATGAAACTACAGTTTTTAATGGTTTTTCCTATTCTACAAAGTGACATACGATACAATTCCAGTTCTATTTTAGCTGGAATTGTATTATATGTCACTTAGTAGAATAGGAAAAACATTAAAAACTGTAGTTTCGTTCGGTTTCGATCCGTTTTCGATTCGATTTAAACTAAATTTATTTAGTAGAATTGGCCCCCAGGACTGACGGATTTTTCAAGCACTTGTTACTTTATCGCTACTATAGAGCGTACTTTCATCGATGTTCAGGCAGTGCACTCAAACAGTCGAAAGAAATATTTTT